CGTGGAGGATATGATTGGCTCAGCTGTTATGGGCTCTGATAACGAGGCGACGATCTCTAAGTTCATGCCAGAAAGGTTAAGAAGATATGCCTTAGGGGGTAAGTCTCGACTCGCGTACACATTCAGCATTTACACAGGATTAAACCTTTACTTATACGTACGAACAATGAGTAAAACTTGATACTGGGTGATACGTGAGTGCGCGCCAAAGAAAATGTTTCTTTCATGTTTCGCACACAGGATACAAATGGGGAAAAACTGACCTGACGTTCCGATTTCTGAGTTATACCAGTGACATGACGGATAGTGAGCAGAGGGACGCCATCTACCGATCGTTCAAGCATTGGAGTGACGTCACTCCTTTGACGTTTACCGAGGTTTCCAATGGCGAAGCAGATATTCTTATAGAGTTTGCAACGGGTGTACATAGCGATGGTCCAGGGGCTGCATTTGATGGCCCTGGTAAGAAATTACATATGTAGTTATTAACCCCGTGAACGACATAACATTTCCGGCCAAAATGTTATTAATATGTGTGGAATTATTTGTTAAATTATGTGAGAATAATGGACATTGGCGCCCAAATGGTCATTTCGTTATACCCGTATGTATGAGCATGACACTGAATGATTCGGCCATTTATCCCGCACGAAATGTTGACGTCGTCGTTCATAGTTTATTTTAAAGCGAGGGAGTCGTCACCTGCTCATGCGTCAGATGGCCATAGAGTGTCAATGTTTACAAACAAGCGTCTACCCATGAGCCTTTGCGTTTTAGCGTGTGTTGTTATCATCGCTTGGGACTCAGTTTCCACGCGTGCGCAGGTGACGACCCTCCCGCTTTAACTAAACATTAACCACCTTCAATTATCCATAACTATGTAATAAATAATGTCCGTCACATAGAACATTACATTTGCATTAATTATTATTTAGGTGGAACGCTGGCGCATGCGTACTTCCCTGAAGATGGCGACATGCATTTTGACGACGATGAGTATTTTACAGTGAACTCCGACCATGGCATCAACTTAGATTTCACGGCGACACACGAATTAGGACACAGTCTGGGATTATCCCATTCAGGAGACCAGAACGCCATCATGTATCCATTCTATCTAGGATACGTGCCAGATTTACAACTCAAACAAGATGACATCATCGGCATTCAAACTTTATATGGTAATTTATTTAAATTTATAACCATTTTTTAAAGCACGATATTTTTTTAAGTATTTTCATTTTAGTAAAAGTTACTCTTGGAAACAGAGTTTTTCCATCATATCCCATACTATCTCATCTATGATCACAGTACATGCACCGCGAGTTGCGTCAATTGTCAATACAGAGGGCGTCCTTCCGCTACCTTTTACCCCGAAGAGTAGATATGATTTGTCTGTCCAGTGTATCACTGATCACAAATTAGTCTTTCATGTTTAAACAGCCTAAAACTAAGCTAGAGTTATGAATTTTTTAATGTTACAAACTTTAATAATTTTGTTCGCCCCTCTAATTTCGATATGTAAATAGGTCTGTGACATGATTTTGGTCTGTCTGACATCCATTGAAATATTCGACTATTTGCGCATGTGCTCGGAACACGGTCGTGATCGGTGCATTATCCGCTATTAAGTGTTAATCGGTTAAGTTTGATTATTGACTGTTATCTATATGTATATATATATATATATTTACCCAATTTCAGGATCGAATGAAGCCGATGTCATAACCGACGGGACTCCAGTAGACCCAGGTGCACCCGACGTATGTACGAGTGACTTCGATGCCGTTCTTACAGGTACATGATTTTCATATCGATCTCCGATACACGGATTTCCTCCTCGTCATTTACTTGCGCGATCGTACGTTGTTACATTTTAGAAAAGGAGATCTCCGAACTGTTCCTTAAAGCGCGGTGGTCGCCGCGCTGCGCATGTGCGACATTTGTGTTGATAAAAAAATGATTTTCCCACAATCCAATGCGCTCTTCAAATGGAAATCACAAGTACGAGGTTTGATTTGGGCGCGACTTGCACTGAATACCAACGGTGACTTCTTTGATACCTTCCAATCACCTAAAAATACCTAATTAAAGCTTGGGAGCGTCTCAGTACTCGATAATCTGCGCAACGGTCGAAGTTGCCATCTTTGTTTATATGAGACTCATATATCTCGCGCATGCGTGGCGCGACGACTACCGCCCTTTATAACATAGAACAAATACCAAATTGCGCATAATGTAATGCACGTGATAATCGTCATGTCACCTGACCAATGCAATTATGTTTAAATTCGTATGGGAATTTCTGCGATATTTTAACACTGTGACAAAATCTGTCTTATCGTTATAGACTACGACAAAAACACACTGGTTATTAAAGGGCTGTATCTTTGGAAGCTGCATGGCAACGACGGTGTGGTGTCTGGATACCCAAGGAGACTGAAGGAAGAATTCCCCGGTCTCCCCGGCAATATCAATACTGGGTTCACATCGTTTTGGTCCGGAAGAACGTTTTTCTTTAAAGGTAAACATAGATATACCATATATACCATATAATCTGCAAAATAAGTTGAAGTTGTTCAGTTGGTTTTTGGATCGGGCGGTGGTCCACGGATACACAACGCATGGTCTAATGCCATGCAAACCATCGGTATATACTTAAACGGGGGGGCAGTTGATACATAGCTGGGTAGGGAGGTGCCCCTGTATTCAAACGTGTGGCCATTTTTATACATTGATAGTTGCAAAATCGATACCCATATTTATACCAAAGTACCATTTCTGTCATCACTGTTTATTCCAAATAAAACAGTTACCGTATTTGCTCTATTAGAAGAGCATCTCCAATAGAAGCACATGTAAGCCAGCAGTTGCATTGTATATTGATTTATTAAAATATGTATTTTTACCATAGAAACACCTCTGTCACTCACACAAGAGCATACTATTAACACAATGTTCAGGTTATTTATACCAAATCGGAAAAATATTGCCGATATTTATACCTATCTTGACCAGAAATAAAACCGACTATACTTATACCTAAAATCCAAAAAACGCGACCCATTTCAGGGGCACGTCCCCATTAGGCAAGTTCTATGTATTGTCCCCGGAGGGGGGGGGGGTACTAGCCCGCATCGCGTCCGGCGGAACTGACAGATACAGTATTATTCTGTATTCTTTCACGAAACTGAGAATGTGACCTTACTTCACGAACTTGGGACGCATGTTTATTTAGCCGGCCAATCGATATTAGCTGCGTTCAATGAACTTGAAATTAATTTTTCCATGATCCAATTCTGAGGTATTCAACTATTTTAGAGTGAGTTTAGTCTAGAACTTCCCATTTGATTTGTGAATATGAATTGTGAGTGAGTTCCGGTTCCCCCATGAATGTGACAATTTGAATACTTTGGTGTTTTCAGGTGATCGATTTTGGCGTTTTTATGGCAGCGAGCTGGAAGCTGGTTACCCGAAAAACATACAAGGTACTGGACTCCCACGGAACCCAGATGCAGCATTTGTCTGGTCTGGAGACGGCAAAATCTACATTTTCAAAAGATCGAAATATTACATCTGGAACGAGAACGATGAGAAAGTGATTCCCGGCGGTGTCCGGTCCATACGTAAACACTGGGCAGGAATTCCAAGTAAAATTGACGCAGCGTTTAGTTGGGTGGATGGTAACACTTACTTCTTCAAGGGTAATTCATATTGGCTGTTCAACGATATGGAAATGAGGGTGGAATATGGGTACCCGAAGGACAAGTCAGAGGACTGGCTCAACTGTAACTAAGTAGGTTTTGTCTGGAAGATTGCGCGATGTCAGCGTGACATTAATTCGGTTCAAGTTATGAAACAGGGCTAGCCGTTTTGGTGATGCTAAGTGGCCGAGTTGTGTAGATTTAGCGCAAACTGTGAATGTGTAAGCCGAGTCATGTACGTAGTTTGCATGTATTTCTTTTTGTATTACGGCATTTTTGATTTTATATGTTGTATTTCATGTAATAATATGCCTTAATATCACCCATGTATCGAAACGTGCAATTCTCTTCTGAAAGTTGTTTCATTGTAGATTATTAGAAAGCAATTGTATTTCAAGTAATTACTGTCGATCGTTGTCAAATGTATTTAGTATTAATCGTAATAGTCTTTTCCCATAAATCGCGCCCTCTATAGTTGAATAAGAGTACGTGTATTTAGATAAGATATCTTTGTTGTTTGATAGTCATATTCCTATTTCTGTGTGCAATATTAAAGAGTTTTCGAGATTGTGATTTTTTTTTTCATTTTTTTGAATAAATAAATATGCTTTTATTTGGCAAAATACTTTTCTCCATAAAAACGAAAGAATTTTAGAATGTCGAAAACGGAAATCTTGTCTTACTCTCCCCGACTGTAACATTCTAAACATATCTTTTATTTTTTGTAATAAATGTCATTTATTGGGAAAACAAATAAATCAAAATGTTTAATTATTATTATTTAGGTGTTTTTTTTTTCAATAGAAATGTAACTTATTAGCTTGGTGCAATCCTGATTACTGATCGTGTTCGACACTGTGATTTTGGGTAAACTGTGTTGCAATAGCGCCCTCAGTAATGAGTCAAGCCAATCCTACGGCATATCAAGAACGATATATTCTCGGCTGGTGTGGTGTGGTGTGATGTCACGTGAGCTACATTAACTTATTAACAAAATTATACAGTGGTTCTATTCTATGTGCTATAATAATGTCTATGATGTCTATGCCGCTGGATATCATCACGTACTTCCATAGCGCGCCATCAGTGCTGACGCGGATATATTCTTTTATTTTTTATTTCAGTTATAGTGCATACATGTTGAAATGCGCAGCTTAAAGCGGGGAGTCGTGACCTGCGCATGCGTCAGATGGTCATAGCATGTCATTGTTTACAAGCAAGCGTCTACCCATGAGCCTTTGCGTTTTTAGCGTGTGTTGTTATCGCCGCTTGGGACTCAATTCCCGCGCGTGCGCAGGTGACGACCCTTCCGCTGCAAGGTAGCAGCTGGCGTAAACGAGTAAGATGATGATATATAGATTGTCATAGTAGCATGCTTAGGAACATTTAGAGAATATCCGAATCACAAATCAGTGTTTAATTCCCCGATCTCATGTTGATACTTTAAGTTCGGCAACGGATACCGCAAAGAAATAGTAGTTTTATGTATATTAGAGAGCAATTACGTGGTGTTTTCTTGTATGGCTACTAGGTGTGAAGAAAAGGAAATACTACAGGCAACTGATCTTCTTTGCCGAAAAACCAACACGAAATTATCCACGAAGGGAAATAATATTGAATCCCTTCCTAATACCTTGTTTCCCGAGCTTATTGTGACGATTATGTTTTCACTTTCACAACATGAAGAAACGTACCAATCAGAATGTCGGGTATAAATAAGTTTATGGCAACACTGGGGGTTGTTGACACATATAATGTAAGCGAATACAGTGTGCAGATTGTTCATGAGAATATACGCCTCGTAAGTAAATGCCAGTCAAGTGGTGAGAACATATATTAATACACGAGTCACTAATGTGGGGGGCATCTGACGTGACACATTCTCACAGCGTGCAGACCGCAGTTATTTTTGATATAATACATTGTTGTGTGCAAGCAGGGCGCTGTCTCTTTCATTACAGCTCCCCGGTGCAACCGACATCACTGACTTGCGAGCATTCTATTGTATTGAACCCCGAAAACAGTTTGGCTAAATGCTTGCCGTGACTTTTACTTCGCGGATAATTGTAAATGAAACCCGGTCACCCAGGCACAAATCTGATACCCGCCCGCCCTTTGTGGCTGCATGGTTGATTGTATCATGGAA